CTGAAGGGATTTGTTTCAAAAAATTCTTTAAGACAATTTTTTATTCATAAAAAACTTCATTTTTGGAGGTATTTTCAAATCGGTCCAGCTTACGTAAATCTTAATATTTTTCCGATATATTTTGTCCTCAATTACACAAAATTTTCTACAACCGCAACTTTTTTTAGTGATTCAGTATGTATGTATACCACGTAGTACGTTCATTGAGCTATGAGGAATATCAAATTAGTACAAATAGGAAGCTGCTAACCACCACAAATTTTGTTGCCATAAATTTTAAACCTGTTTAAAATTAGTATGGTTTGAGTTTAGAATTGAATTTTAAGTGGTAAAATGGATTTGAGAATGGCTTTAACATATCATTTACGTGAATTTTGATTTTAAGTACATAGTAGCTGATAAAAAATTCCTCTTCATTTGGCGCTTGTAATTTTTTAAATGATTTTTTATTCAAAATATGCGATCTCTAGTATTGCATCGTCTAGGAACTATTTATAGAAGTATTCCTTTACTTTTCTCTCTGTAGGAGAACAACTATTCGAATTTTTAAAGAGGCATATGTATGTAGTTATAAACCGACTTTTTTATCTCTCTTTGACTGATATTAACTTGATTATTCAGTCTGCTTACCTCAATTTCTTCTTCAGTTATTCATTCAAAACTGGCTGGAAGACGGTATGATGAAATTTGAATACGAGTATAATAGATGGTTTATGTGCGATTTCAAGAATTTTCAGGATTTTACTTGGTGTAGTCAAATGTCACTGTCATCAAAACTTTTTTACGAACGCGTAAAACTTTTAAAGAATTCCAGCAAACTTGTACATCTTCTGTGGCTGCATTTTTAGGCATATCGAAGAAAATATTCGGAGACTAGTCGAATTTCACATTCGGCGGCTATGTTAATGTGTAAAATTACGTAATCTCGGCTAGTTGCCGGTTATTTAGGACCGACTGCACCATTGAGTTATTCTTTTTCGAGAAAAACTAAGCAGCCGCACTAACCGCCAAATCTCTTAGCGATAACAATTTCCGGTCTGAAATTTGCGATTTTTATTTGGACGAATCGCGGTTTCAACAAGAAAGGGCCCCATTCTACCCATCGCTGGCAGTAACAGTATTAATGCGCTAGAAATCTCCAGATTGTATGATGTGTCTTGACCGCGGAGATCCTACGACTTAACGTCTTTTGATTTTTTTTTTTTGTGGAACTATGCAACACCGTGTTTATGCAAACTTTTATGGTGCTATTGAAGGACAAGATACGTTAAACTAAATATGACCGAGTTAATGCTGAATTTCGTGACAAAGTTTTCAAAAAGGAATAGGTCCTGAAATACATTTGAATGACACTGTTTTCCACGTATAATGGCTTAGTTCAAACTTTATTATGAAATTTCATATATTCAATGTGTTTTTTTACCTCACTTTACAAAAACGAGAAACGATAACCCCTTATTTAGCTTTTCTGTTTAGTATTTAGTGCAGAATTTCAGCTTTTCCATTTTTCCAAAGAATCGTTACACATCCATTAGGAATGTTAATCCCGGGATCCCGGAATCCCGGACTTTTTAAGGTCTCGACAATCCCGGGACTCTTGGCAATTAATATTTATATTAATATTTTTTTATAAAAGTCTAGCTCATTATACATATAACACCGCGCGACAGTAAATTTTAAACACATATATTAATATATTCGCGAAACCATGGGCCAAATATAGTAAAATAGCGCTTTTAGTTTTTCACTCTGATGTCAGTAATTTAAAAATGATTTAAAAAACTCAGAGAAATGTGCTTAGAGAAGAAGTATGGGTATAAAATTAATTAGGAAATCCTGTGGAATTTAAACAGAATAAAGTTTCTGGTGCAGAAGGGCTGGTAAATATTTGAAATGTCATTTTAAAATTTTACCCTTGAAATTTCGCAATATTTTTTTTTGAAAAATTATATGTTAAAGGCTTATATAAACTCGATAACATCCTCGAGCTTCGTTCTTCTAACTTTGTCAGCTTAAAAATTACCTATTCGTCGTGGTGAATCCAAAAAATTTTAATATTTAAATTCTAAGACTATGCTCAAACAGGCCAATTAGCTGAGGCAATTAAGCTTTAAATTGCGGAATTGAGTTTTGTGTTCACACATACGTCAGCTGCGCAATTAGCGATTCGAAATCAGCTGCTGGATTACCTACAGTGATGGAAAAGTTGGTACAATCGTACCTTTATTTAGTTTGAAAGTGCATTCGGTACACACACAATTTTAGGTACTTTTGGAACGTAGCCAAATAACTTCTCAGGAAATCAGTTCTTATTTTTATTGACGGAAAATATTTATTTTTTAACGTCAGATTGGAGATTGGAAAGTGATTCTCCTTTTCTACAACATAGTTTTGTCTCGCGCTGCTCGAAGAGATTTTCTTCATAACCAAAAATTGTTTAATGTGAGTACAGAAGTTGATGTATCGATGGGAATTGTTATCCTCCTATCTTCTTTATATAGAAATACATATTTATTTTTTAGGTACATCTACCTACTTTTAGATAAAGCTTTCCGTAAAGTTGGTACAATTTTATATATTTAACAGCTGATTGCTCTTTATTCGATAAACATACCTCCAAGTCAAAATTAAACATGACACAAATTAATTGGCAATTAATAATTAATTGGCAATTAATAATTTGAATTTTTGTATGATAAATTGGGTAACAATTAAGCCTTAAATTGTGAAAAGATGCTCATTTGCCCATAAGGTGCCTATTTAAACATAGTCTAAAGAAATTTCCTATTGCATTTTTTACCCATATTCGTATTCTAAGTACATTACATTGAATTTTTTTAACAATTTTTGGAATTAATCATATCTTTGAAATTACAAAGTCAAAATAAATCGCTACTTTAAATAAAACAGTAGGTTTCAAACCCATTTATTATTATTTATTTCATGGTAGGAGAGCTTCTCAAACCATATAGAAGCAATTTTTTCGATTCAAGTTGTTGAGAAGTGATGAATATCTAAATCCCGACACTAATTACGGGATCCCGGGTTTGTGACAAAGGCATCCCGAAAGTCCCGGGGTCGGAAAAAGCCGAAAAATTAACATCCCTAACATACATATGTATATACATATGTACAAAAGGGAGTCGTTTTCAATGTCAGCCTATCTTGGATCAAGGTCAACGTACAAATATTATGAAGAAATACTATGGTTAAGTGCTATAAAGTTGAAGATAATAGAATTTTGAAGTACCAGGAACTAAGACTTGAGTGTAAATAAGCTGAAGATACAGTTGAAAAACGAAATACATATATCGAAATTAGTCGTGTGTTTGTACTTTTCCGTAAAGAACTATCCGGTAACTTACCAGCAACAAAATTTTTGAGAATAAGCCAGCATTTGCTTCCAATGAGAAAAGCATGCAAGAAAGTACAAAAACGGAAAACCAGCAAGAACTTGCAAATTTTATGAACAGCTGATAATTTTATAATTTTTCGAAGCAATTTTCAAAGAAGCATAGTATTTATTATCTTATTATACATTTAAATAAGTTAATTTTGTCAGTTGCAAGTGTAAAGTCCCCACAAACAATTGTTTAGTTAGTGTAAATTACACTAAGCAGCATGCCACCAGCTGTTTTTCTTACTGGTAAGAACCAGTAGAAATTGTTACTGGATAGTGCGTACAATCTCAGTAAAAATTTCCGCGGAAATCACAAAAATGCAGTTGCCAAAATAGCAACTTCGTTTAAAAGTACACAGATGTATTATTGCAGAATTTACTCTTTATTGTTATTATAATATTTTATACAAGATCTCTCAGCTAGAAAATCGTACGCTGGGTATAAAATCTTCAGTTCATAACAACACTAAAGACCGCTCATGACGGCAATCCGGCAATGCCGCTAACGAAGGCCTCCACTCTTAATGTGCGACCCTTTACACGCGAATAATGCTCATTCTTCTATTAGAATTTGTTTTGACGCATAGACGACAACATTGGAAAAAATACGACTTTTGGTGATAATGGCAATTCGCAGATATGTGGGTGATGTGCGCATGATTTCTCTCAAAATGTATGTATGTAATGATACGTATGTATGTTTTTAAGTATAGTTCTTCGTATTGTTACAATGTAATGCAGTTTCTTCGATTGAATCAAAAGTTGTTTTTTTTGCACACTTGTGTACACTTTACTCATTTCAAGCGCACATAGCAATTGCGAGAAATTTAGAAACTTTTATTTGTAATCTATACAGTGGACATACAGACATCTTAATAAACAGCTGTTTATACTTTACTTTCCTGTATTTTCAGTTTAAAGTCAGTGTGCCCCACGGCAAAAGAAAAACAAGGCAATATGAAAACTAACCAATTAGTAATCTTACGGCACGGTGAGAGCGAATGGAATAAGTTGAATCTCTTCTGCGGGTGGCATGATGCTGATTTAAGTGAGCAAGGTAAATAAATGCGCATGAAGGCAGCGTTGCCACAGACAAATTTTTTTTCCTACCAAAATTTCCTACCATAACCAACCAAAACCTACCAAACATTTTTTTTTTAGTTTTAATATTTGTTTTCAATATCAAATTTTTTAAAAACATATTTAACATAACATTTAGTAAAACTAAAACACAACTAGATTAATAAAAACAAATTAACTGCGTATAACGATTAATTTTATTGTACAGACTTATCCATATGTACATATGTCTCTTTACACATACATACATATCGTCACTAGATACGAATAAAGACGCGAGCTCAAAAGTTGATAGCGAAAAAAGAGGCATAAAATCAATTTCGGCGAAGAAAGACTCTTAACATAGGTGACGGCAAATAAAGCCGAGTCAACCTCTTTGACAGCAAAGAAAGACCCACAAACTTATGTCCGCGGTCAACTATGTATATTTTCGAGTGCAACAGTATTCCCCAGAACTCCCCAAAGAGTTTTTTCGAGCTCTTTATTCGTGTCTAGTAACGATATTATTATTATTACGTCGAAGATACCCGCGCTGCGACCTAAGAAGATATGCTGTGCTAAATCCAAATTGTAATCACTCCAACCTTAGGCTGTTTGAAAAGCTCAGCCCTTTGGATGAGCCCATGTTTCAAATTTTAGATGGAGAAGGCAATCGTTTTCCAAGGTGTATCAATCTACGATTCATGCTTCGTGGACAGGCACATCGAATGGGTTTCTTTCACTAGCCGACAAACCCTACAGTCCGTCTCTACAGAAAGACCCATGTAATTAAAACGGTACGTTAACTAACAGTGTGCTGTCAGGTTGCCAGTAAGATTTCTAGGTTCAAGGTGTCTTTCGAAGTTCCTGCTGGAAAGAGTTATGCATATCCTTGATTGTCTTATTCCCTTTGACTTCCGCCAGTGGGCAGCAATTTGAGATTATTCCCAGCTAGCTCCTAAGTAGGTCTGCAGTGTGTCCTTTAGATGTACCGCAGAAAGGCTAGTGACCGTGAAAATGCATTTGGGCTTCACGCTTTGAGAGATAATCAGTCCTTTTGTTTCCTTCAAACCCTTCATGTCCATGAACCCTCCACAGCGAGACGCTATTGTGGGCTCTCAGGTGGTTCAAGAGATTACAAGCCTTGATGCCGTTTTAAAAGACTCTAAGGCCTTTAACGCTGCCTGAATGTCCGATATAATATTTATTCTGGCCTCATTTATCTTCTACGATGACATTCGCGAACACAGACTTCGATTGGGAAGACCTCCGCCTGAAATATGGTTGAGTACGAGCCCATTGGCAGACTTTTCTGGAATCTTCGTCCAAGTACGCCATAAATTATATCGCTACCTAAAAGTGAAAAGGTGCCAAGTTTTTTTTCAAAGCTTAGTTTTTGATGCAGAATGACAGGTAATACGAAACTACAGTTTTGGTAGGAAACTACCAGTTTTGGTAGGAAAAGCCCATGTTTGGTAACACTGCATGTAGGTATACATATGTACATACATATGTACCCTACAAGACAGCTGTGTATCATATGAGTGCTCATATCATTATCACTAGTTATGAAGGTGCTTATCAAGGTATTCATTTTTGTTCAGACCATGGGAAAAATTCAGTACTTTCCTCTCAATGTTGTCATCAGAAAATCCTCAGTACTAATAGTCAAACTACTCATTTATGCCATACTACAAAAACAAAGTGTAAATGTGTTAGAATTTTTTCCTAAAGTGCTCAGCAATGTCTTGTACGTAGGGATGGCAAAAAACAAAAAAATTAATTAATCATATGATTTATCACAAGACAAAAATAAACTAAGTGCAATAAATTGCAATTATTGAGAAATAATCGATTCATCGAATTCTTTATAGTGACTTTTTTACAGTGAGTATTCACAAAACCACTTCCATAAAAAGCTTCTAATTATCTTGTTAATTAGCCTTAAATAAAATAAAACCATTATTTTTAGCGACAATAATTATTTATTATTTAACCAAGTTTGCAAAAACAAAATCTTTGATAAGCGTTTTGTTGTTAAGCGGTCGCGTTTCTCGGTGGCCGTAGAACCAGCTTTTGAAAACAAGCGCTCCAGCAGGCGCCGCACATAGGTAGATTTTCAAGTTTTATGCGGCAAAAAATATTTGATTGCCTCTATCTACTCAAAATTGTTTATCAAATGTAAAATTGAAATAATTTGTATTACAGGTAGGTTATATTAATAAAATATATATATGTATTAGCCAATAATTTACTATTTAAAATATATTGACTACCTTTATTTATAACTTGTGTGTACACTATCATCGGTTAATTAGGTTTCGCTTTCAGAATCTTCGCTGGCCTCAAATTATTCCTTTGTCACATCTTTGACAACGGATTTAGAGGGTCACAGCAGCTTTATTATGTCTGGGGAAAACGATTTGATATTTTTTCATTTGTTGGTCATGAACCGAAATACTGCTTAAAAACGAGTCCGAGCTCAAAAACAACCGGTTATATATGTCACGGTTACATACTTTACGAGAAAACTTCCGGGAATAATTTTCTGCTCTTGAGCCTCTCCGATAATTGTCCTATTGGTAATAAGGAATTAGTATCTTGTGCATTGTGGGTGTCATAGGATGTCACGCGTAAAGCTCCTCATATAATTTGGCGGTGTCCAATGCATATTCGTCGTATTTTGTTGAATCAATTTCGTAGCCACTAGATATGGTTTCCAATATTATTTTTAACCTGTAAATTAAATCAAATAAAACATCTCTTTGAGGTAAAATTTTCGAGTGACGAAAGCTGAACTAGAAACACAAAATTTATGATATCAATTTCGTGACGAGAATTATACGCATTTTTTAACTGCTTTGGCAACGTACGGAAAATCTTTTGTTTTGGATAAACAGTTTTCATTTCCCCCTAAGCGTCGATGATATTCCGCTTTAGTTCTAGGACTTTACAATTTAAATAAAAACTCATTTCATCTTGTGGGTGACCCAAATTATGATTTTTTCGCCTTCGTTTGTGTACAAGAGATTTATGAGGGGCCCAAGTGACGAGTCGCTACCCGGTTCCATATGATCACCTGCGCACATTATTTCCTTTCGCAAGACCTTCATTACTGAGGCCAATATTAACGGATCTTTAAAATTAATTTTTTTCAACCTCTGGTCGAGTAAAGTTGATGCAGCTAGCAGAAGAGGATGTTCGATGGATGGATTTTAGACAACTACAGAATTCATATTTCTTGAAAACATTTTTACGATTATTTTGCAATTAATCGATTAATGAAACACAAAACTATGATACAATTAAATCGTAAATTGAACAAAAATAATCGATTAATTTAATCAAATGATTAATCGCTGCCATCCCTACTTGTAGGGTATATTTTCATGTACATACATATGTATATGTATATGCAGGGCAGTTGAGAGTAAACTCGGACCCGGACTGAAAAATCATCATAATTGTGTTAAATTATTTAGTAGCATGAAATATTTGTGTTTTTTTTTATGTATAGAGTCAGAAACAATCAGCGCAAATCGGAATATTGTTCATATGGAATAGTAGCCTATGTCGAAACGCTGGCTTAAGTATAATGCGGCATTCGCAGAATACGATTGCGAATGACTCAATTGCGCTGAGCCGTTGAAGAACTTTTGGCAAGTAAACGTGCGAGAAATAGTTCCGATATTAGCAAATCAATATTCTTATTAAGTCTTATCAAAAAATTCCTTTTCGTTTAAAGGATAATGGGAATGCCGCATTATACTAAAGCCAGCTTCTCGACATAAGCTACTATTCCATACAAACACAGATTTATAATAACAAGTAATTTTTAAGCAAAGAACAAAACCGACTTCAATTCTCTTATAAAAATTTAAGATTATCGTTAATTTCTTCACGATCCAACTATTGTATCTAAACAAAATTAGTATGGGAGGTACCACCTTTCCTGAAAAAAGAATTATCGAAATCGGTTAACGTGGTCCAAAGTTATGCGGTAACAAGCATAAAAAAATATATATATATATTCCGACGAACTGATTACCTCCTCCTTTTTTTTTTAAGTCGGTTAAAAACCGATAATGATGGAGCAATTACATTGTAAAAACTTGAATTATAACAAGTTATGGTTCTGATATGTCAGGTCCCTTAAAAATTCCGGGCTCGGAGGAGACTCCCCTCTTTCCCCCTTCCCTCTCAACGGGCCTGTATATACATATGTATGTTAGTTTAACATTAAGAAGCTTCACCAAATAAATTTGTAGTCAATTTCTTTTATCATCATATTTAATTAAGCTGAAGCCCGCTCTACGTAAACTGGGATGTAGTTTTATTTTATATTTTCAGTTCCGTTTTTACAGTGAAGGTTTAACTCGCATTCGGTAGTTAATGTTCAATTTTTGTACTGAAAATCGATAGTTAACAGCATAATAAGAGTTAACTCTTCACTGTAAATATGGCTCTTAGTTGCATTTTCATCATATAATATTGCATGTATGTAAATATTTCTATGCAACCATTAATGCCAAAATTGTCGTCATTTCTATAGGTGCCAAAGATGCTGTAAATATTTCAGCGACAGCATTGCGTGAAAGCAATTTAAAATTCGATATTGCATACTCATCGGCATTATCACGCGCTAGACAATCATTGAGTATTATATTGAAAGAATTGAATCTCTGCGATTTGGAAGTTGTAAGCGATTGGCATTTGAACGAGCGACACTATGGAAATTTAACGGGTTTCAATAAGCGGGACATGGCCGATAAATATGGCGAGGAACAAGTAAGTTAAGTTATCTTTTCTATAAGCATTTATGTAGTTGAGCGTTTACTAAACGTTAGTTAGTTGAAAGAAATACTTACGCACGTCCAGGTTAAGTTTTGCATGAAAGAAAAAAGCAAGGATATAAGAGAAAATCATGGAGATCAGAGAGGATTTTTGAGAATAACTTTTGTGTGACGTCACACTGGTGCAATCGCGAGAGAGAAATGCCAAAACGTGAGCAAGAATGGAAGAAGAAGAAAAAATGTTGCAAGGAAAACGTAAACAAGTTGCACAAGTGTGACGTCATGCAAAGCAAAACTAACCAGCAACTTGAAAAATTTTGCAACCATAAGGGAAGTATTGGATAATTTTCGTTACGCTCTTGCTGCCTGATAAGGGTTCAAAGCTAAAATTTTGCTCTTTGAGTCAGTCTGCACTTTTGACAACAAGTTCTTGTATTCGTTAGAGAATTATCTCAATTGAGTTGAAATAATAAGATGAGTATGAATCTTATCTATCTCCTCCTGATCAGTAGGAATTAAATCTTCGAGAGTGCGTATTAATCATGTTGTAGAACCTGAAAACGTAAGATAGAATGGCTTCTTTCTTCTATATTCTTGACTAGTGACGGACGTACGAATTCGACGGTTTTAATTTGGTACATGTTTTACTTCAATTTTATTATTAAGTTTTAAAATTTTAATCCTTTTTTGAATTTGCCAGCAGTGTAAACTTTGGGAGATACATAAGTACGTGCGTGCCGCAAGTCTTTTTCAGGTGCATTTTTCTTAGAATTTGTATAAAAAAATTACAAAAAAAATGCCGTCCTAGCCACCTGTTCTAAGTCTATTCGATTGCTAAGTATGAGGGCTAATGTTGCACAAAAGGGGAAGTATAAAAGACTCAAAATGGAGGAAGTTGGCTTATGGTTACAGAAGATAAGGAATATCCGCTGGTAAACCCAAATAAAGGTTAAAACTTAAAAACAAGTTAAAGTAAAATCTGTTAAAAATTAAGATTAAAATACTTTTTTCGCAAAATCTATAAAGGACCGTTTTATTTTTCAAAAAAAAAAACCTGTGCGACAGTTATTATTTTACACCCCGTAGATAATATCAAAGAAAACATTCAGAAAACATTGCTATCACGAGCGAGGGCAGACTAGAGACTTCTAGTGGGACTGCTTAGGGGGCACTGCTTACCGTAGCAATTCGCGATTTTTACGAATTATCTGTAAAACTTCTGCAAGGCTCTTAATTTTTCCGCGATCATAAACGAAAACTTCCTTCATATTGAAACTATAGGAACTATAGGGAGTAGCGGAAAATTGAACCGCGTTCAGATTTGCTTACTGGGATATACAAACCTAGTAGCTCATTTTCAGCTCAACAATATTTATTTAAAAGTATTAACAAGTTTGCATGCGTTTGTTAATTGTTAACACATTCATTACTTTTAAATGTTATTTTTCATCGCTTAGATTACGTATATTTTATTCTATTAAACATTAACATGCAAACTGAACATTAAAAACTAATTTATTCCCATTAGCCTCTGGATATTTGAAAAAAAACTTGTGGAATATGTAATTCCCGAAAATGTGGCATACATACTGTTACTCACAAAATTGAGTGTAGGTTTTTTTTTTGTTAAAGTTCGCAATGTTTTACATGCTCAATGTTTTTTTTGTGTAATATTGTATTAAAATGTGGCTAATATATTAGCAAACCGCATTTAAATCCAAGTATGAAACTGTGTACAAAATTAAGGAAAATCTGCAAAGTTTCAGCAAAATTGCAGACTTTTTAATAAGAGTTTCTAAAACAAAGTCAGATATGCAGTTTTATAGCCCATTAAATCTTAGTACAATAATGTGTGTTGCTTTTTGAGAGTTTTTTTTTGCTGACTGTCCTACACATTGTTTTCTTTAAAAAAAAAATCTGAAATACTTTATATGTAAAAATGCGTAGGACAGTCAGCAAAAGAATTCTCAGAAATCAACGCGAATTTTTATACATTTGAAATTTTGCACATTATTGTACTAAAATTTAATGGGCTGTACAACTGCATACCTGAATTTTTCTTTAATTCTTATTAAAAAGTTTGCGATTTTGCTGAAACCTTGCAGATTTTTCTTAATTTTCGTACACAGTTTAATTTTTGGATTCAAATGGGGTTTGCTAAAATATAAGCTATGTTTTAACACAAAATTAACAAACAAAAAATTAGCATATAAAGTATTGCGTATATTAACAAAAAAAAAACGTACGCTAAACTTGGTGAGTAACAGTATGTATTATGACACATTTTCGGAAATTAGTTTTTTACATATTTCACTTGTTTTTTTTTTTAAATACTCAGCCGATGTCACCAAAATTGAAAACTTTTAAGCTTAAGATACCCTGAAAGAAGAATCTGGCCCCAAATTTTCGTTTGCAAAGAGTAAACAATACGTAAGGAAAAACGCGCGTAAATTTTATCAGAGAGTTAGGTGACTTACGAAAGGTTTCAAGGCCGGGGCGTACTCCTGTAAGAACAACCATGGCGATGTCCAGAACGTACTTAAATTATGGAACACTTTTCCATCCTATTGAATGGCAGCAGACTGAGAGTAGTCGAGAAGACGAACCCGAACCCCAGTCCATGACGATTGAGTCGATGTCCGACCCCGCCATACGCGCCATACAATATCTTATCGAGCGTATTGTGTGAAAGACTGAAGCCCACCGTCAATGAACTGATTGGGCCTTATCAGTGTGGTTTTAGACCTGGCTAATCCACCACAGATCAGGTATTCACAATAAGCCAAATCTTGGAAAAGACCCGCGAGAATAGGATCGACACACACCATATATGCATGTGTTTGTCGATTTCAATGCCGCTTTCGACAGCATATCTGAATTTGGTATTCCCGCGAAACTAATGCGTCTGTGTAAAATGACGTTGTGCAATACCGCCAGCTCCGACAAAATTTGGGAGAACCTCAGCGGCTCCGCTGGCTAGGTCATGTCGTTGGAATGGACAAAAACGCTCCAGCTATGAGAGTATTCAACACGGGTCGCGATGCTGGTAACATAACAGAAGGAATGGAATTGACTTGGCATCTCCAATTGTCGTCAGTTGGCACAGAAGAAAAACAACTGGTGTGCTGTTTTGGACTCGGCCAAAATCGCTTAGGCGGTTACAGCGCCAATATAGAAGAAGAAATCACTTGCTAGAGCTGGTCATGGCGACATCAAGAAAACCCTTGTCAGAAAAATTTCATTAGTTACTTTCAGCGTTGCCATTTTAGCCGTTTTCCGGCTAGATTTAGCCGGTTTTGATAGCAACTAGCCGGAGAAAATTCGATCTAGCCGGCAGCCGATTTGTTAGCCGGTTTGTAAAAAAAAGTTAGCCGTTTTTAGCCGATTTTACCATATATGTAATACTTCTATATTGATAGTAAGCTAACATCTCAATCTGTAAGCATTCCGAAATCAAAGCGAGACAGTCTAGTACTGTTTTTGTCAATGTATTGTGTACTTGAGTGCCGGTTTTGTAGATGTGTTGTGTACATGTTTATTTATAAATGGTATGTTCCTTTTCTTTCGTACGTGTTTATTGATATATCTGTACTGTAGTGTTTCGGACGGTACTAGCTCTTACTGCCAATATAGGAGTATTGCATATATGGATTTTACTATTTGCCTAATTTTCAGGTGCAAAAAGTAAACAAGTTGTTCGAAAGCAATAATGCAGACCCAATGAAGACTTTTAATGAACTCAATGTTTTACTTTCGCATCAATGCTCTCTAGTGGTTATTAGCGCGGACACATTTGATCCTATATGCTCCCCGTTGGAACCATACCTTGCTCCGTTTCTTCAGTTTTATCACAGTTTTGAAGAGTATTTAAAAACAAAAGTAAGCACAAACGCTTTTGACCACGAAGCCGAGAAAATAATTCGAGAAAATGGTCGCTATTTTATTATCACTTTAATAAAGGAATTACGCCAACGTCTCCCTACAAATATTGCCACACTAAAAAAATTTACTTTTTTCGGTTGGAAATGCATTAAGAGTAATTAAACCAAAAGTATTTGTTCAACTACAGCAACAAAAACACAAATACATCCATAGAGATGCAATGGCTACGGTTAACGTTACATACCTGGAGTAATTTAGACTCAACTGTAAAATTTTGGGCCGAAGTTTATCAATTTCGAAATGCCCTAGGAGAAAACCCTTTTGCTGACCTTTCCAACCTAGTTTTTAGTTTTCTTGTTTTGCCTATAAGTAATGCAGAAGTAGAGCGAATATTTAGTTCAATGAATATAATAAAAACTAAGCAAAGAAATCCAATGTGCGTTAAAACGTTAAACGCTATTTTATATATAAGATACGGTTTAAAACGCGAAGTAAACTGCTGCCATAATTTTACTGTAGATGACGATCTCTTAAAATTAATGAATTCAGGTGATATATACAATAGTGATTCATTTGATGATGAGGAATATACACTCGATATAAATTAATGGTGTTAACTAGTCTTTCGTTTCTTGCGATTTATTTAAATAAAGCATGTGAATTTTCACTAAAATATTTTAGCCGTTTTTAGCCGTTTTTTTTTGCCAATCTAGCCGGTCGGCCCAAAAAGTTCTGGCAACACTGGTTACTTTAGGTAGGATTTTCTAGGATACAGCCAGTGCAGGCACTGCTAAAAAGTAGTTCATTTAAAGAAAATTTTCCCAACACCAAAAGTGACTATTTCAAAAGAAAACTATTATTCTGGAGCCAGTCCAGACTCTAAGCAGATAAACTTATTTAAGGGCATCGTATCCTGTGCCCGTCAAGGTTACCGTTTTAAGGCTGTCGCGTCACTGATATTGTCCTGGCGCTGTCAACGTAACCGTACTAGCGAACTACTACCTATCACGTGAATTGGTTAGCCAATTCAAGATATTGCGAGTTTGTGCCAGTCCAGTCACTACGAGAGATAATTTTTGTATGCTAGGGCATGTCCGATTTCTATTGGGTGAGAATATTGTTAAGAAAATCTATTAAGTACCGGATTAGATTATCTGTAGAAGGGATTTCCATGCCAGAATCTATTTTGATGCTGTCGAGAAATTTCAGATACGGAACTCTAGCCAGGCTCTCGACGGAATCAAGGCTTTGTCTAGAAGATTTCCGGCCCGGTATAATTTTCAAATGCTTTTGTATACATAAATATGTACATGTTATTTACTTTGCTACTGATGGTACTGACACTACATATTAATAATTATTTTATTGCTTTTCCATTAATGTAGGTGCAGCTCTGGCGCCGCAAATACGACGTTCTCCCACCACCAATTACGCCGGACAATCCCTATTATAGCTGCATACGCAATAACCCCAATTTCAAAAATATACCGGAGGCGGAATTCCCAGACACTGAGTCGCTCAAAGTGCTAATGCAACGCGTCATACCATACTTTGACAATGTCATATTCAAACAAGTATTGGCTGGCAAGCGAGTTCTTATCGTTGCACATGGCACAGTGGCGCGTGCCTTAATCAAGCACATCGATAGTAAGTGACATGATAAACGTTTATTAATACATATGTACATATCGCACACCTAGATCTAAAATGACGCTAACTTAAAATTCAGATAGGGAAATATAACTGCTTGTGGATCCTACAGATTCAACTCAGTTAATACAAGAACAGATATAAAATTAGATTTTAACTGAATGTGTAATTGGTTACAACTTACAAGTTCTATGAATTTATTTATGCAAAAAAACACCCTACTTTTTTTTAGTTGATCGCACTTTAGATCTAGGTGTGCGATATGAGGAGTTCTTTAACAAAAAGCAATAATCCCACTTAAACAGTCTCTTAGATACATAATTGAGGAAAAAATAACCACCGCCAATGGATGCCTACACTGAGGGAAAAAAATATTAAAATCATTCAGAAACGTAGTTGATCTTACTATAAACGTCAACCAAAGTGCTGTATGGTCGTTAATATTTAATTCATTACGCGCATAATAAAATGAAGCATTTGTTCGTGTGTGTGCATATGTGCGGTACACATTGGCGATCAAAATCGACAATTTTGCTCAAATTTCCCCTGTTTGACCGTGTGACCGCTCGTTTTCGTCAGTCAATAGTCAACCGCAAAAAATTTTTGTGACTTTTAAAAAAAATCTCAACTCTAAAAATTTTAATTAACTAATAGTAAAATAAAAAATGTGATCCAAAATAAATCAAACGAAACTTGAATAAAGTTAAATTAAATATATAAATCAAATAATATGAAATAAATAGTAAAAACAAAGGAATTTTTCGCAATCGCTCCAACCGAGGATCGAAGCTGGCAGCAGGCTACCGCAGACGCGAAACCCCCCGCTTTGTTTCATTACTTGTACAAAAGACAAAAGATGGCCGTTTTTACCAGTGTTGTAATTGAAAATTCCCCGAATCCGAGTTGATTCCCAAAAATTGCATGCATCTGTTCGGCTGTTTATGCGCATTTTAAAGAGAAAATTGTATGACTCAAAGCAAATAAAGGCTGTTCACGCAAATAATCGAGCCCGTTTGTCAATCGTCCACATCCACAACGCCTGGGTTCAAACCCTGGCCAAAGCAACATCGCAAAAATATAGAAAAAAGGTTTTTTCTTAACAGCGGTCGTCCCTCGGCAGGCAATGGCAAACCTCTGAGTTTATTTCTGCCATGAAAAACAGCTTCTCATAAAAATACAATCGCCGTTCGGAGTCGGCGTAAAACTGTAGGTCCCTCCGCTTTGTGTAACTCATCAAGGCGCACGCCACAAATCGGAGGAGAAGCTCGGCCAAACACTAACATATGTGTAAATATTTGGTTTATCTCAATGAGTCTGCTTCATCAAGTTGAAGTTAGTTGGTATATAAGTAGAAATAAATTAGTTTGTCTGAGGTAATTGGTTGAGCTATGCCGTACTGGGTATGTACACTTACAAATATGTACGTACTCAGATGTGGACATTCAAATACGTGCGTGCTAAATTTTGCTATGAAAATATTATTTTTAAATACGAACATTTTTAAACGACAACCAAATATAAAGTAATAATTGTTACTATGGATTTTTTCTCTCAGTGTATTTCCAAAACCCTGAAAAATATAAAAATTGGAATTAAGGCATTTTGATATGGAACTCTTTTAATAATGTTTTTTTAAAAGAGTCATGTCTTTTTAAAAGAGTCATTCATTCCAAAAATTGTGCCTTCAACCCATGATTCAATAATAAAAGGTTTGCTCAAAAAGCAGTTTTCTCGCTCCCTCTTGACAAAATCGGCTCCCTTAGCAAAGCACTGTGTGTGGGTTCGTGTGTGTGTGCAAAGCTTTTCTAAGGGAGCTAAGGGAGTGTCAAAACTCTAATGTCACTAATGAGCAAACCTATGCCTTCAACCCTCATTTGACTGAAGAATAGTATTTACCTACAAAATTTTAAATCAATGACCAGTTGATTACAAAAAATTACCAAAATTGACTTTAAAGTAAGGTTAGAAAAATTTAGAGAAAAAAAACTAAAAAGACAGCACTTTTACGCCGCACAATTTAACAGTACCTCTACAAATTCAAATGGTTTCTCTCAAAACTTCCCAGTCGGCTTTAAAAGACCTTTTCTGATCTCTTAAAGCGATAGGCCTTCCGCGCTCGACGCATTACCTATTTAACTTTGGCCCATACACACCGCGACATGCGCTTCAGCCTTTGCTGAAAGGTAAATAAAAGCTCCTTGTACATTTTTAATGCGTAATTTCAAAAATGCAAAATTTTGCGGTACTTTTGAAGATCGGGTGCGATATTTAGCTAATTTTTTTCTGGGTGTAGGAAAACAGGGATAAGGATAAGAAGAAAGTTCACAGCAAAATTTTTCAACTATAAAATCAAATTCTTGCGTTAAAAGCCACGAAGCTGGACCTAAAATTCTGAGACTATGGCAAAAATATAATTGCTTAACCTAGCCTCAAAAAGGTTAACTTGGAC